GAGAGAGAGAGAGAGAGAGAGAGAGAGAGAGAGAGAGAGAGAGAGTCTCTGGCGGAAATTGTACGGCGCGACAAAATTGGTCTTTGTCTGCCTGGGTAGAATTATTCTAGCTACCGATGATTCTAGCCACCATTGTTGTCTGGCCTTTGTGTAAGGCGAGCCAAAAGTCAGCCTACCTCCATGATATATATATATATATATATATATATAAGCAATTAAATAAGCTGTAATATATAGCAGTTTTATAAATAAAGCTGTTCTGAAATGTCGCCTTTATGACAATGGCAGCATTGAGTAGCAGTATTCGTGTCACGAACACAAAGCTAGCATTGCACCTGCCCTTATTAGTGCACGTGGACAGCACCATATCACCACATAAACCTTATGTCACAGGAGTTTGCCACGAAAAACAATCCCACCTGCCAATATATGATATGACATAATAATATCGGGAGTACATAATAAAGGATACAGAGTAATTAACTCTCAGGTATATTAATTAATCTCTTAATGAGAGTAATAAAATTCTTTATCATGAAAACTGATGGCATAATAATGTATAGGCAGACAGTATTTTTGGCCACAAACTCTCTCACCTCATCAGTGGCGGATCCAAGGGGAGCACAGGGGCGGTTGCCCCCCCCCCCTAGAATTTTCAGGGCAAGGGTATTTTAGCCTAACACCCTCCCCCTCGGGCGCTTCGTGTCCTTGAGCTCGCATGATTCGCCCCCCCCCCCTCAGCACGATTTGCCCCTAGAATTCACTTCTGGATCCGCCACTGCTCATGCATAAATCCCATTAAAACACATACATTAATACGCGCCTCGACGACGCGACCACACGCACCAACATCGGCAGGTTTCGCCCTGCAGCACGATTAGTACTGTGCGATCATAACAGATGGCGCCACCTACCTGAGTATCGTGTGTTCTCCACGCTACCCTGCGACGAGGCACTTGAGAAGCCGCTGCTGACGCCAGAACTCGACGTGTACTTGCCGCCAGACTTTCCGCCACTCAGCTTCGGACCGGGAATCGTACACGCGGGGGCGCCACGAGCGGGCTTGCCGAACGGCGACGGCAACCTGCGCCAAACACGCAAATATTCGTACACCAGGCGGCAGCACCAAACAACGTAGAAGGCGAGAACAATGTTGTGTTAATTCATAATACTGTATTAGGTTATTTCTAATTATTTTAATTATTAAAAAATTATATTATTATTGATTATTAATATTATTCGTTATATCTCAGCACAGACACTACTTTTGCACCTGGCAATCCTTTTGACACGAGCAATAAATCTTTACAAAAAAAATACACGACCAGCTAGAATAAACGAAGGCCGACCAGGTGTGGCGAGACAGGTGTACCGATCCTCATTACCCTCCCGAATACACCCTCACGATCAACCCGCGTCACATGACGCAACAACCCATGACGTGAACCAACGACGTCAATCTATCATTATCCCAACATCAAATTTCAAAACAACGTTCAACGCCGTTCACGGTGTTCAAGCATTATTCACTGTTCACATGCGTATCATATGTGCAAGAATTGTGGTTAGAATGGGAACACAGAGGGGGGTCTACAGCTCGACGTAACATGACATCCATGACAACTGCTATTTCGTTAAAAAAAAACCTCCTTGCCTCCCCATGACGCACAGCTGACCCCACGTGCAACCCCCCCCTGCCCCGCCTGATTAACAACAGGCATCCACTGACAAGGCATTTCAACACACCTGCAGGCTCTCTTCTTCTCATCACCAGCCTACTTCTCTGCACATTCTTCTCTCTCTCTCTCTCTATCCTCTCTCTTCTGCTCTCTGCTCTCTCTCATCTCTCTCTCCTCTCTCTCCCTCTCTCTCTCTCATTCTCTCTCTCTCTCTCTCTCTCTCTCTCTCTCTTCTCTCTCTCTCTCTCTCTCGTCTCTCTCGCTCTCTCTCTTCTCTCTCATCTTCTCTCTCTCTCCTTCTCGTTCTCTTCTCTACTCTCTCCCCCATTCTCTCTCTTCTCTCTCTCTCTCTCTCCCATTCTACTCTCTCTCTCTCTGCTCATTCTCTCTCTCTCTCATTCTCTCTCTCTCATTCTCTCTCTTCTCTCATCTCTCTCTCTCTCTCTCTCTCTCTCGTCTCTCTCTCTCTTCCTCTCTCTCTCTCTCTCTCCTCTCTCAATTCTCTCTCTCTCTCTCTTCTCTCTCTCTCTCTCTCTCTCTCTACTCTCTCTCTCTCCCTCTCTCTCTCTCTCTCTCTCTCTCTGCTCTCTTCTCGCATCTCTCTCATCCCCCTTCTCTATCGATCTCCATATATCTTTCTCTTCTTGCTCTCCCTCTCCTACTCTCTCTCTCTCCATTCTCACACTCAGTTTTTAACCCACTCATCCCTTCCCTTTTCTAGCTTTCCCATTTTCTCTACAAATCTGCACATGTGCAAACCAATTATATATGTAGCAGCAGATTTGCAGGCAGAACTGAAATTAGTAAAGATATCCTACTGAACTCTCGTCTACATTGATGGGATAAAAAAATCTCAATTATAGTCAATCCTATATACTACAAATGTTGAAATGGATTCTGTGCCCACATTATAGTTATGATTGTCAATATTTCGTAGACATTCCATGTGCATGATGCTACAGTCAGAGATATTAATGCTTACATTAATATATCAATGTCTTTGCCCATATCGTTTGATTTCGTTCTTTATGATTATCATCTGACTTTTAGCTAGAGACTAGTATAATAGTACCATTTAAAATCACAGCCGCATACCTTTGGCGAATACTGAACTATATCAGTGCTCATCCTATGAACGCATAATGTATACCATATTTCCCTTCTCAACAAGCTTATGAAAATTCACGCTATGAAAATCACACAGCGGTTTTCCGCCTCGATAGTCCTGCTCAAACACTGACGCCAGCGCCGTAATTCCAATCTGACAGCTCGAGTGTAGGCGTCACCTACCTCGACAGCATTTCCGTGATTCTTCACTTCGACTCTGTGGAGTCTGCAGCGGACTGTCGTCGAATAGGGACTCGTGTGGCACTAGGTGGCTGCCGACTGCAAGCTTCCGCTGTGGCGCGGGAGAACATGGGCGGGCGAATGCAGCGAGTGATGAGGCGGGCTCTTGTAGCACTCGCACGGGTGGGACGCCGACGAATGGTGACCCTGAGAGAGAGAAATTGAAACAAATAAAATTCTTACGTTAACACGAAATACAAAGATTCATTAGATTTAATTAGTACATGGACGCTTTCAGTTTTTACGCACGATTCACACAGACATGATCAAAATAGATGGCATGAAACTGAGGTGCTCTATCTGATATATGCCAATTACAAGTGCAGGTATTGCATTACATGTCGGCCTGCCATGGCATGTGCATATGTAATACGTGTATGATGTTGGTGTCGTGTGTGGATTGTGTGGTGTGTGTGTGTGTTGTATTAGCGTTACCGTGCGTGCCATGCGTATCCGTCATGCATTTTTTACGCCCTAAATTATAACAAATAATAAATATGGAAATTTGATTATACCAGCCGTAGTTTATAAAATCATTGATAACGTACACCACTAGACATTTGTAGTCAAATCTGCAAACCACTTCTTTGTTCATAATGACAGATTACTGTTCGAAGCAATCGGCCCCATGAGTGAAGGGTGGTCTACAATATATGGCTGAATTAAACACCAAATGCAGTATAATAACTACTTTGACTCTGTCGATAAACCTACACTTCTACCATCTATACTTCGGCAGCACGCATTGAAATGTAGCCCACTTTAGTACTGTCAGCTAACTCCCATCCACACAAACACACGTACAAAAGAAATGTTAAAAAATTATGCTATAAAATTAGTAAGTTAACAATAAATGACCGTCTAATGGTAAAGCTAAAGCCTTCTATTGAGAACATGCTGCAGCTCGACCAGCTGTGTTAGAAATCCATTCTCTTGTTGTGCCTCGGATTGGACGAGCAGTAAAATGAATGAGGAACAGGACGAGAGGGACTTTACACACATTCATTCACTCTCTGATTCCCTGTTATTAAGAATCTCAAATGTATAAACTGTTATCTATAGATCTCTCCTCTCTTCCGTCCCCCCACCCCATCGCCCAGTCCTCCCTCTCTCTGACGTCTCCCTCCTCGATAGTGTTCGCGACAGAGAGAGGGGGGCGAGGGGGAAGGACGAGAGCAGAGAAGGATGGAGAGAAGAGAGACGAGGGGGAGATGAGCCGAGCTGAGCTAGAGAGAGAGGGGTGTTGAAGGTAGAGTAAGCGAGCAGCGAGAAAGCGATAGGAGGCCGTCGAGAGGAGAGAGACAGGGAGAAGCTAGAGCCTATTAAAAGAGATAGGAATAGAGAGTATTAGATAGAGAGAAGAGAGAGCGAGAGAGAG